ATCAATAATTCTGGAATCCATTAAAAAAAATGACGACTCAAAACGCGCAGAAAAACAACCCAGTTTCAGTAATGACGCATTTGACGTCACTACAGGCGTCTTTCCGGTGAAAATGTCTTTAAAAAGCTAACTATGATGTTAATTGAAAACAAGACATTTATCCGAAACATAATATGCACTTGATAATCCCAGTACGTTTCTGGCAATTTCGTCATTCCTAATTATGAAATTATGAAGTTATCAAATCGGACATGCCCGCAATGATGTCAAATGTGTCATCAAACCACGTGACCGTATTACCTTTTTTAGTGGGGCGTAGCCCAGCAAGCATGAAAACTGTGAAAATGGATGGCTGTCATCATTTTTTAGCCCTCTCTATGTCTGTCTTAAGGACCTCTAGTGGGTCTACGTAGCATGCGCAGTGCAGGTTTGCGAATCCAGCTGCAAGGCCACCCAGCGAGAATTGCCTGGAGGAGCCAGAGCAGTGAGCATAAACAGTACACCGTGGAACTGCGATAACGATGAGCGTTTACGATGAGCGTTTCAAATCGCTCATTCTGCCTTCAAGATTGAGCTTAAACGCACCCTAAATCGTAGATCTGCCTCTTCCTAAATTAATAGACCGGTTTACTAACATATTCAAATCGAATGAATACTTTTTAAACAAATGTTGTTCTTGACAACTTGACAGCTTGCCCGAGGCTTGCCATACAAAGCAGCATCTAACGTATCCTGACTGGATTCCAAGTATTGTAGTTCATTCATAGATAAAAGGTTAATAAACAATTCGTCACTATTATATGTCCCCTAGGATAGAAACATCCATAAATTTGAATATGTTAGTAAACCGATATATTGAGTTAGATTTATTTTCATGTGATAATTATTATTGTAATCTTTGCCAATGATCTATAGCCTGTGAATGTGGTACAGTTTAAGTTAAGTATTATCACGATTACAAATATTTTCGAAAAACAAATGTAGGCTCACATTGAAATGCGCCAATTATAGTGACTAATTACGCAAACCAAACATGTTTCTAACGGCTCGTCCAGACAAGGCGCGGCAAAACTTTGGCTTAAAAAAAAAGATTATGTTTACATAAGGTGCAATACGTTTCACATGTCTATATGTTATGACACATAGCTCAGTTGCCCTTCATATACACGTAACCCCCCCCCCCCCCAAAAAAAAAAAACAACAACAAACAAACAAACAAACAAACAAAAACAAAAACAAAAACAAAAACAAAAACAAAAAACAAAAAAACAACGTTAACAACAACAAAGCCCCATATCCGAATAAAAAGCCCTAAGGGATAAACAATAGGGTCTAGAACTTGCCATTGAGCTGATTTCTTGAAAATCCGAGCGATCGTTTTTGTTATATTTATTGTTTCTCCTCCTTTCAAACCCCAGCTGTGGTGGATCTACCAGACCCAGTTCCATTCCGGTTCATCCCAGACACTAATCTGACTGTCGAGTTCTTTATCAACGCCGCAGGAGGAGTATGGATCCAGGAACGTACCATTGATTCTCTAGCCTTTGGATGCACTGAGTTCCTGCCAGATCTTGAGTCCATGATACCCGATTTCCGCACGTTCTCTGCTTTTTATGAGCCAGTCTGCAGAGAGGTACTTGTAGCAGCCAACGACCTGGCAGTCTTCGACGCAGAGAGTTCCTGTACTGATTTAACAGCTGTTTTTACTGATTTGATATCCACGGACGACGGCTACAGGAAGCGGAGGCAAGCAGATATGGCGGAGGAAGATATGTTTGATTTCATCGGAATCCTAAGTAATACTACCAAAGACCTCTACGGCTTGAACATCTCCGACCAATCCACCGTATGTCCCAATATCAAGCAGTTTCTAGAACCATCATTACCCGAAGTGGCCACCAGGTTTCTCACTGAGCTGACCAGCGCAGTGCTTCCTCAAGCAGCCCCCTACTTTTGTGAAGATTGGGAACAGTTCCTTTCAAGTGTCGGGATCTCCAAGACATCGCCCCACTATCCAATCATCTACGATTTGGCAGATATAGGATCTCAAATGCTTGGACATGACAGCAGGGATGCTATCTGCGAGGCCATTCAACAGGCTCTATCATATGGACGTAAGGCATTTAGGATCAATACGGACTTTACACTATCACCCCAATAGCATATTGATGATATCGGACCAGCCCCTTCCGACAGGAAGCTTACACTCAGTATGGGGGTGTTTTTGTCTGTCCCGAAGCTTGTCAAATATAAAGCCGTAACTTTTGCCTTAGGATTTACAAAATGTATGCTTCACATAGGACTAACAATATGTCTTTCATATTATTATATAACATAATTCTTAAAATAATTCTGAAATACTGCATATAAGTTTTTACATATTCATCTTGTAGAGTCAAAGACATATTGTTGCATTTGCGTCGCATGGAATTTCGTTTGGTATCTCTCTATATTAGTTGTCCGATTGTTCCATTCTTTAACATATTTTGTATTCTATTTCGTGTGTACACATAGGGGCAGACCGGAAGGCCTTAGGGAGGGATGCTCTTGAGAGTTTCCTCGATATCTTCACCGACGTAGAGAGATGTATGATGATTGGGAATGACGCAATTGATGACATCATCGAACCTCTCTTCGGGATCGATGTTCCTGGGTTTGAAGTCACGAGCTACCTGATCTCTCGATACACCGGTTACAATGGAGTTAAAGATATCTGCAATGCACTGGAGACGGCATTTACCGGTGAGTTTAAACGATTTCGTACCTAGGGTGGCCACACCTGCCCAAGAATGGGAGATGCCTAGACTAGCAAAGGTGTCATGGTGTATTAGTAGGCCTATAGTGGTTGAATCTCAATCAAAAGGTCGAGGGTTCGAATCCTAGCCTAGGATTAATACGACTAACGTTCTCTGGCAAGCCATTAATCCAATTGTCTGCCACTCTCAACCGGGCATTAAATAGGTACCCGGTATGATGCGAAAGTCATTGTGGTTTACTCAGCATCTTTGGGGCGTCTATTTAATAGGGACTTCTAGATGTGCGTGGACTGCTACGTGTAACATCCTTTTAAGGTACTGTCAGTCACATGTGACGTCCTTTAAAAGAACGTCACACGCAGCAGTCCACTTTGTCAACGTGCAAATCTAAGAATCCATAATGAGGCATGGCCAAGGGGTGCACTCGGGTGAGAATGTGCATATTACATGGTGTGCAGGTAAGCCTGCCAGTGCATAAGAACTCAGCATAAAAGTGGATTTCCTTATGATTGTATTATTTTGTCTTCACCGTTATTGTATACAGTGTTATCTGGGAGTACTCTGACACTGACCATAACCGGTGAAACCCTTAATGGCGAAGAACTGATGTACACAACTGACCTGACCAACATGGCCTCCCCTGCTTTCAAGAAACTTGAAACAATCTACTGCGGAGTGGTACGTAAACATTGTTACATGTCATTTTTCCGAAGTCCATTATTCTGAAGGTTCGTTTTTTCTGAAGGTTCGTACATATTGAGAGAGGATTCACGATTCCGAAAAAAATTAAAGGGTTCAATACAAATGGTTCATACTTCTGAAAATGAGTTCCTGATATACTATCGAAATTTCACGAGATTTGTATCTGAAAAGATGGCCGAAAAAACCCGAAGTTTTTATATTGCTATGCACTTCCTAATTCCGCAATAATGTACCTTCATTCGGAGATTGCAGAATCTTTTCTTATTTGTAATAGATGAAAAGCTCAGTCTATTAAAGTAAAGTTTCTATGCCTCCCTCTAATTTTCTATCACCCTTTTCTCTCTCAATATGTTTCGTATCACACATAAAGTGAACGAGGTCCATAAAACCCATTTAAACAAGAGACTGTGTCGATATCGTTTTCTTGACAGGCCACGAATCATCTCGAGCGGGAGCTAGGATCAGATCTTCGTAGACTGGACTGTGTAGCCAATTCGTTCAATCCTGGCAGCATTGTCGCTGAATTAGAGATTCAAGTCTTTGCTACCACCCAAGATGTGGCTGATTCTCTCGCTGAAGACGTGGCTGAGCTGTCTACCGGTGAAGGTCTCGTTCTCTCCTCCGATGGGGACTCCATGTCCGTATCATCGTTCTCGGCTACTCCTAATTCCGGTAGGCTAGTCCATCTTTAAAATAGTTATAGTCATATCGATGTGTGGTGCAGTGGTCAAATGGTCTAGTGGTTACGCCCCGGACTGTATATAATGATAACAATACTAATATTTCGCGTATATAGCGCTTAATACAATGTCTCTAAGCACTTTAAAGATATACTATAACCCCGGTCATTGGATTCAGTGCTTACCCACACACACTGTGTGCGCAATCTCCACTCCCTGGGGAGCATTCTAGCCAGGTGTTACTCGACGCTCAAAAACTATTCGACCAATATCACATGGTTCATGGTTCGCGATACAAGTCCCGGCTGGAAATATTTTTCCTTTTGCGAGACATTAACATTAGGAAAACATCTCATTTGAGCTCTGCTCACCAGTTCACCACTTTTCCTGGAGCTACCATAATCTGATAGGAGCACTGACCACTGATAAAGGGATTACCAGTAGGGTCCATGGGGAGAGAGACAGTGGTCAATCATAGCCTAGTTACTGATAAAGGGATTACCAGCTGGTATCTGATATCCAGTCCAGATTCATAGTCTTCTTATCGCAGACCCTACACCTATATTTATAATAGGCCTGGATTCAGTGTGTCTAAAGTCTCACTTCATATTGTTTTTTTTAGCAAGTACTAGCTATTTAAGTTTCTTTTACGTATAGAAGAGAACATTGATGTGCTTGGCAATGGAAAAATGCAGAAGGAAAATATAAAGGGAGGATAAAATAGGGAAAGACGGGTGATAATAAGGAAAGATGGAAATGGAGGGAAAGAAGGAAGAGAAAATAAAGAATAGCATAAGGAAAGATGGAAAAGGAAGATAAAAAGTGTAAAAAGAAATACATAAGGAAAGATGGAAACAGAAGATAAAGAAGGTTAGAAAAAAAAAGAAATACATGAGAAAAGATAGAGAGAATAAAACAAGGTGACAATAGAGGAATACATAGGGAAAGATGAAAAAGATAAAATTAGGAGAAAATAAAGAATAACATAAGGAAAGATGGAAAGGGAAGATAAAAGAAGGTTTAAAAAGAAATACACAGGGAAAGATGGAAACAGAAGATAATGAAGGTTAGACATAAAGAAATACATGAGAAAAGATGAAATAAAACAAGGTGAAAATAGAGGAATACATAAGGAAAGATGAAAATTAGAAAGACGGAGAAAATAAAGAAGGGCATAAGGAAAGATGGCTAAAGAAGATAAAATTAGGAGAAAATAAAGAAATATATAATGAAAATTAGAAAAGAGATGTTGAAAGAAGGAGAAAAATAAAGAATAATATCAGCCGAAAGGTATTATAGAACAAAGGTGATAATAGTGAAAAACATGAGGAAAGATGGAAAGGAAACATTGAGAAGATAAAGAAGTTAATTGGACAAATAAACTTTAAAAAAACCACCAACCAACAAGCGTTAACTGGACCAAACTTTGATTGGTCATGTTGCTGCATAATAACCTAAAAAGGGCGACTTGAAATAATCGCACTGTCACAAGTATTTTAGTTTTTCTGCATAAATATAATCATTACCTTAAAACATAAAGGTTAGATGGCTTATGTATTGAACCAAATCATTAATAGGCAAGCTTGCCCATGCAGTACCTCTTTGATCAAACGACACGGCAAATTTTTAAGAACACTAAAAGAAAATACACTGAAAAACGGCCGCTCAGAGTGCCGGGCGCATTCACGATACTGCATGTGGCAAGCTGTTCCGAATTGGGTGGTGGAGTAACGCCTTTAACAGAGGCTATATTTGTCGACCTTACCCGACTTTCAAATGGAGAATCTCACTTTTCGGTGAACGGGGACCGAAATACCCCACTTGCGTGTCTGGTATTACAGACCGCTTTCTTTCCCGATATCTTCGCGTACACCAAGCTTCGTGAGAATGAGCAATCTCAGAATCTGGATGAATGTTGTCCTTGTAGTGTGAGGTTCATGAGTAATTATTGTTATAAACTACGACATATAGTATGGATGATAATGTTTGTCAAGTTTATTGCGGACTATGTCATCCTCATAAAAGTATTAGATCAAGTAAAAAGGCTTCAATTAAAATAGTTAAACATGACCAGAAATCATTTCGATGTTAAGATATTTTTGACGCACTTCTCGTCATGATATTAAATTTATAACATACAACGAAACGAGGACATCATAATAATAAAGACGTTCGTTGTGCAGATATGTATTTGCTTATTAATACATACAGTGACAAAAAGAATAATGCGCTATAATCATGAGCAAAAAACCAAGAGGTTTTGGAGAAAGGTAAAAAATCATCCGAGCAGTCAATTCTTCAACAATCTTTAGTATCAGAAAGCGAAAAGGTTTAACTGTCGTGATAAAAATGAGCTTGTCATAGAGATTTATTATACAAGTAAGCATCGAAATGTTTCTTTAACGAACTGCTATAAAAATTTTAAACCAAATACACTTGTGCTGAAATTTCATATCCTCAGTATCGAGAAGCATAATGTTCCATTATGGTTGCATCAACTATTGTAAAATAGATTAAGTCCTTCGATGTCTTGTAATGCCCTAATTACTCGGCTAATTATTATCTTTCTAAAGGATTGTAGATTTGAGAGTTTCTGTTTCTTTCGTGTTACATGCAATGGACATTCAATCATCACGGCTTGATGTGTTGCGGGGAAATAAATATTGTATCCTATACGTATACAGATCATATTAAATCGAATAAAAGTTTGATGAAATTCAATTCTTATCTTGCCAGAATCATCATTTTTTTAAATACCGTCTTTATAACGAATTCCAAGAAATATGCCGTCTGCCTAAACAACCACCCCCCCCCCCCTATTTCAAATTTGACGTCTGAGCCCCGGCCACTCCCTATTTTCAAATCCTTGATCTGCCGTTTGGGGGGGGGGGCAAGAAATAGGCAAAGAAAGTTGAGTAGACCTTGAGATTACGCACGGAATAAATGTAACGAAAACAATATTTACAACATTCTATTCTTGCTTTCATACCTCAAAAATATTTAACGGTCAAACCAACAAAATGTATGTTTTCCCGGCCTTTCCTTATAGGCCTACGCCTACACCATTTTTCTAAACGCGTTCGAGTTTATTTCGTCTATGCGAATAAATTTGGTGGCGGAGTAACGCCTTTAACAGAGGCTATATTTGTCAACCTTACCCGACTTTCAAATGGAGAATCTCACTTTTCGGTGAACGGGGACCGAAATACCCCCACTTGCGTGTCTGGTATTACAGACCGCTTTCTTTCCCGATATCTTCGCGTACACCAAGCTTCGTGAGAATGAGCAATCTCAGAATCTGGATGAATGCTGTCCTTGTAGTGTGAGGTTCATGAGTAATTATTGTTATAAACTACGACATAATTTTAGTATGGATGATAATGTTTGTCTTTCCGGACCGCATGACCGTTACCAAAATCGCGGAAAAAGGGGTCAATTTCAAGCAATGTCCGCGGACAAAATATTCCTCGAAATTAAGAAAATAGGGGGGCACATGTGTCCCCGAAATTGATAAATAGGGGTCAGGAAGAGGGAAAAGAGAAAACCGGGAAGGGAAAAGAGAAAACGGGGAAGAAAAATTCTCGGAGCCGAGTCTTGTCCTTGAAATATGGTAAAATAGGGGTAAATTTGCGAAACTGTCCTTACTATCTTATAAATAGGGGTATTCCAAAGTACGATTTTGTCCTTGTTTTGACGTAAAAAAGGGGGTTAAATTTCACAAAATGTCCTTGAAATTGACCGCAAAAGGGGGTTATATGCATTGGTGGTAACGGTCATACGTGTCACTCTTTGCAGGGGAGTGACCCCACCGGGACTATGTCATCCTCTTAAAAGTATTAGATCAAGTAAAAAGGTTTCAATCAAAATAGTTAAACATGACCAGAAATCATTTCGATGTTAAGATATTTTTGACAATTTTAGACAATATCATATTATTTAATTGTGTCCATGTACTATATCGAACTAGACAATTATGATGAAACTTGAAAGGAACATAATTATAACCAGGAAGTTCCTGATATAACTATGCTTATAAAGTGAAGCAAGGAAGATGAAACTGGCATCTCCCATGTATACCGGTAGCTATGAGAAAGGACATAATCCGAACCTATATGAGACTGCGAATAAGACTAGAACATCATGGAGGAGTTCCAAGCAGTACTTATCAAGGTTGGGCTGGCGATGTCCTGGCAAAGTTTGTTTATACTGCAGATTAGGGACTCTAACTCTCTCTTGCTCTGTGGTGAGCTTACCACCAAAATGCACCCCACTTTCGGGTCCAAAGTGGGGTGAAGTTTAAATGGACTGTTTTCATCATGTCTACATATGCCACTCTCCATCCAGGTGTTAAATTGGTACCCGGTTGGAAGCGAGCGTTAGTGTTGTTGGATTGGCATGTGTGCGCTTGTAAAGTGGCGCATGGCCGAACTACTCCTCAGGGAGCGCAGCGTGTGCACCGTCATGTGCGGATCTGGAATTGAATCCAATGACAGGGGAAATAATGATAATAACAATTTAAATGGCTCAGAAACGTAGTAAATAGCGCTTTACAATATGACTATTATTCACTATGAATATGACGGACAAAGAAAGAGGTCAAAATATACAGTTCCTAAGGTACACAAAGGAACATCCCTTCACTGCTTTTATGTAAAAATGAGTAAAATAGGTGAATATGCATGTGACACCTGTTCAACACATTTTTACATAATAGAAGTGAAGGGCTGTTCCTTTGTCTACCTGAGGAACTGTATATTTTGTCCTCTTTCTTTGTCCGTCATCTTCATAGTGATTATTCCTTCGATCAAGGATTTAATTTATTATATACATTTATTATGGGGTACGAATTACACTGATATAAAAAAAGTTCACCAAACTTCGGTCGAACATGACAAACTGACCTTTTTTCAAGAATTTAGATCGATAAATGATATTCAATACAAGCAATTAAGAGTTTTATTTTGGTATATTGGTTAAATATAAATACATGAACACAACATCGAAGGGCCTCCACCGGTCACCGGACTCTAAACTCTAATTTTAAACGCAAAATGTACATACTCAAATTATTATTAAAGTTTTATTCAAGACAGGTCTTGAGAGTATTCTTTTAATTATGTTTCACTTTCTTCATCTCTCTTGAATTCCAGCTACTACCAATGGTGGGCGGGGCTTGTTAACTGGAGCTATTATAGGCATTGCAGTGGGCGTGGTCATAGTAGATGTCGTGGTTCTATAACTCATTGGATACTTCGTCGTTCGCCGCCCAGGTCAAAAACGTTCGACGATTGCCTGAGAGTACTGCATTATTTGGTTGGTTTGTTTGAATGTGTGTTTGCTTGTCTGTTTCTAGTTTGTGCTGAACTCAATGTTTTTTGGCTTCAAGCACATCACGCCATGTTCAGACTGAAGCCCTTGTGTATCATCACCCCTTAATGCACTATTATGTTAATGCTACGTTGGTATGTAAAGGTAATATATTGTTTAATGTTTTGTTTGTTTGTTTCTACTTTGTGCTGAACTCAGTGTTCCTTGGCTTCAAGCACATGATGTAATGTTTAAATCAGACAATATTGTCCATACGGTTTGTAAATGCATTGTCAATCATTGTTTTTTTTTATGTAAGATGAAACAGTAGCAAATAAATAATTCAAAATCAGTTACAGATGTAGATGAAGAATAATTTTGAAATCATATCATGATTTTTAATCGAAAAATTTATTAAGAATGTAATTGCTAATAGCACTTGTAAATGCATTGATTTACATTGGTATGTAGAGGGTGTATATAGTTTAAAGTCCATACGTTTTGTAAATGCATTGGCAATCATTGTTGTTTATGTAAGATGAAACAGTAGCAAATGAATAATTCAAAATCAGTTACAGATGTAGATGAAGAATAATATTGAAAATCATATCATGATCTCGAATCAAAAAAATGTATTAAGAATGTTATTTCTAATAGCACTTGTAGGGGCACTGAGGTTTATAATCACATGATGTGCCATATAAATACACCATATTATTGTTAAGTTTGGATACCATCATACTTCATCTCTGTAATTAAGTTTTGGAAATGTAAGACATAAAGGCGTTAATTCAATTTAAAATACGATAACATTAGAATCATTAGATCCCTTCGAATGTTAAAAATTGATA